CATAAATTGCCATGGGGTTACGTTGTTAAAATTTCAATATTAAAAATATCTCACTGGAATAATCCCTGCAACCTACGGAGTTTGGATATATATATATATATATATATATATATATATATATATATATATATAAAGATAGTAATGGATTTTTATTCATCCGATAAATCTTTCAATCATTTCAAACGTTATTTTTAGTGGATACTCATTTTTGAGTAGACGCTCGAAAATTCAGACGAAAATAACATAATGTTTAATATATCAACGGAGTGTCTACTCAAATACGAGTATGCAATAAAATAATGTTTAATGTTATATATATATATATATATATATATATATGCAATTTTATATATATTATTTATATGTTATATATGCGCGGTACTTATTGGGAATGGTCAATATCAGTGATACAGCTAACATATTTAATTAACATATTTAACAAATTAAGACTTTAACAAACAAGCTAACATATTTAACAAACTCACATCAATCCAACTATATATATATATATATATATATATATATATATATATATATGTGAGGGAGAGAGAGAGAGAGAGAAATCGAGTGAAAGAGACAGAAGCAAAGAGACAAAAGGAGACGGAAGGAGAGAGTAGAATTAAGTGCGCAAAAAGAAATTCTGTTTTCATTTTTACAGAAGAGAGGAAAACCTTCTGCTTTAGATAGGAATTCAACCAAACGATAAACCAGGATTTAATCTTGAATTTAAACGTATTCAACAGAACATAATCGCCAAAATTTTATATCTGATCTTCATCTGCAGGTTTCTGCAAGCTTTGCTTGTTATATTGGCACACAGACGCAAACGATTTGTGAATGAAATACTATTATATAAAATTTAAAGCGACTGCTTATTAATATATTATATTCCTGCTTCACTGAAAGGGAAATCAGACATGTTGCTGCTTGTCATTGACAGTAATTTCCAGCAATGTCTAAAATTCTGGAATACTGATTGTTGTAGAATTGCTGGACTAACCGACTGTTTATTTCTGCGAGATTTAGGTGTTCAAAAATGTTGGCCATTTGGGAAGCCATTTTGTAAGTATTGTTCTATTTGTATAAACTAGCAGTACCCTTGAAAATTTAACAGGTTTTAATATTTAAATTTTCTGATGTATCTTAATTCTTAATTTTAGGATTGGATAAGCTCCTAGCGAATTCCACGACTATGAAATACCCATGGAAATTTTCCTGTTGCGTCGTTAAAATTTTGATCATTACACTTTTGATAAAATATGAAAATGTCATCATAAGAATAAATGCAGATCATTATTTAAAGTAGTAAGAGAATACAAAAGAACATATTCAAAATTGATAAGGTTTTCAATTTCACTGAGGCAGACGTTAAGCGCCTTTCTTATCTTTCTTTCTTAACGTTAAACGCCTTTCTTTCTTTCTTTCTTTCTTTCTTATATACGCTTTCTTTTTCTCACTAACATCAAACAGCGTCTCTGCTATATCCTCTTATTCTGCCTTTCCCCGTAATGATAACGGAATGGTCAATTATTTATCTGAGGCAATAGCAAGGTGTAACGTACGTGTTAAGTTACTATTGGCGGAAAAAAAGCAGAATTATTAATATGGTGTTAATGCTTAGATTTTCTTATTGATGTTATCGTCAAAGAATTCTCGGAGTTATATATTACTGGAACGATGGCAATTCAGTCTTCGGTCCAAAGAGGATAAAATGTTTGAAATACTTTTACAGACCCTTACATGAAGAAAGTATTCATATATTTAAAATCATTTTATAATTGAAATGATGATGTAGAATTATTTTATTTATTTATTTTTTTAAGCTTCACTCAATACAAGACCCAAGGGTCACTCAAGGTAGAGAGTTACTATGTGGGGTTTTATTAGCGTAAGAAAGAGCAAGATAACAAGAAAGATAACAAATTCTAGACTTGAGGAAGTCAAGGCTTAATTAGCGCATAAAATTTCAGAGTCCAATCGGAAACGTTAGAATTATAGAGTTGAAGTAGACTTTAGAATGGACCGGAAACCCAATTTTAAACAGGAAAAAGGGATGAACCTCTGCTCCTGTTCAAAAGAGGTTTGAAAACCGGACGATTTTTAAGTACTGCTCATTTATTGCTAAACTTGATTCCACTAAGTCTAAGGCTAAAATACCCGGCCCATGTATTGAACATATGAATACTACGTCACTAAATTCATGCTTTTAGCCTCTGGTCCGTTGATATCCGGCTCTAAATAGCGTTTGATAATTTTTTGTACAGTGGAAACTCGGTTCCCGAATGTAATTCGTTCCTGAAAGCCGTTCGTAACCCGAAATGTTCGTAAACCGAAAATATTTTTCCAATAGGAATCAATGTAGCGAAAAAGTCACAATACAATAAAATTGGAAAAGAAAAGCACAGCACAACACACGAATGTATACAACATGGCGGTCGACTCAGAAATTATTCCGTTCGGGTTAACTCGGTTCAGCCATGTTGATCAGGAAACGAATTTATTTTTGATAACTGAGGAATTTTCATTTCGAATTTTTTGTTCGAAAAACGATTTGTTCGACATGTGAGACGTTCGACAACCGAGGCTGCATTGTATTTCTTTGTAACTGAAATGTTTTCTGTTATTTAATAGGTCCACAAATCATCCAATGTTAAAATCATACTCACTCTAGAATTGATAAAATCCGATTCACGCCCCTCCCCGATTTTTTGAACAGGAGTAGGGGTTTATCCCTTGTTTCCTGTTTAGGATTGAGTTTCCGGTTCCTTCGACTCTGTACTTCTGACATCTTCGCCTGAAATCTGAAATTTTATTCAGTAATTTTTTTCCTTTCCAATATTACTGGCATATCACTGTTAAATAGGTATTTTGGCCTATTTTAAGAAAAATAGAAAATATTTGTACTGAGAAAACGTGATGGGATGGGAAAAAATGAACTTGATTTTCAGATTCAGCGTGAAAAAAAATAGTCCAGGAACATGTGCCCATTGCCCAACAACATTTGAGTCGAAAAAATGTCGACCAAATGATAATCAAACTTCAGAATTTTTGAAAGTGCGTCTTGATTGGACTGAGAACTTTTCAGCTCACATTCGCCAGTGAAAAACAAAAAATAAAACAAAACGAAAAAACAAATAAACTGGGTTTCTGGTAAAAGAACGCAGATGCTGTTTATTTCGTTATGGACACCATTGTTAAACATTCTTTCTTTCTTTTTTAATTCAATACTTCATCTCCTGTCATTTGAGAAACCAATTTCTCGGCAAATGAAAAGATGTGTGTATTTATGATTTCCCTACGGAGACGTTTGTTGTCTGGCATCGAATGCGTCTTTTATTTGGTTTGCAGTTCAGAATCAAAGTTTGATTAATACTCCATATAATTATTAGACTCTTAAACCGAATTTATGGGACAATTGTAGAACTCTCGTTAATTTTGTAAACATAGGAAAAAGGCTTCATACTCAAGGAATATCCAAATTGTTAGTTCCATGACAGAGGATTATTGACATGTTATGCTAAATTAGACTATTAGAAGATGCTCCGTCCTGGGTAAGACGATAAACTACATCCAACACTAAGGCCTCTGACCAGGAGGTTTTGAGGAGCGTGGAACCTCCTCTTAATTGCTGGTGTTCCCAGGTCCACCCTGACCCGGGGTGGCTCCAGCTATGGGCAAATTGTTAACCCTTAAACTGGGGTCAAAATACTATAGATAGGTTTTAGTACCTGCAATACATTTTTGAAAAAAATACTGCCAGCAATAAATTTTTGAAAAACAAAATATTACCAGTAATATATTTTTGAAAAAAAAAATTACCAGAAATGCATTTTTGAAAAAATATTACCAGCAATAAAAATCTTGTCGGCATTAAATAACCCATTGAGGTTGATATGCCGTAAAACAGAACAAGCCAAAAATATATATACTGAGATAGATAAATATGAAGAGACCAAAAGAAACAGATAGACATGAAGAGACTGAGAGAGACAGACAGATAGATAGATAGATAAAAAAATATTACCAGCATTAAAAACCTTGTCGACATTAATAACCCATTGAGGTTGATAGGCCGTAAAACAAAATAAACCAAACCAGAGCATATACGCTTTCCAACATCACGACTGACAAAGAGAAACAGTTCAGACCCCTACTTTTCAGCTATCGCGATCGTCAGGTGAGCAGAAATTATTTTATTAATAATATTGAACGGTCAGTCATTTTTCTTTTTTAAATCGAATTTATTGGGCAATTGTAGAACTCTCATTAAATTTGTAAGCATAGGAAAATGTTTCATACTCAAGGAATATCCACATTGTCAGTTCCAAGACAGAGAGTTATTGACATGTTATGTTAGATTAAACTATTAGAAGATGCTAGCTTATCAAGTGAACAGGAGAAATAGTTATATTCAAATCCACTCCAGCTATCATGCGACAAGAAGCAGAATATCAAAATAGTTTGACATAGCAAGTGTTGACATCAAACTCACAACCTCATACTATTGGTCAACCAAACTAGTTCGCTAATCCGTAACCCAAACCGAGGCGGCCATAGATAGCAGCTAGGTTCATGACAACAAGAAATTTTGAATTGAATGAGAATTAGTTGTCAGACGTCTATCCTACTTGGGGAGGTCTTCGCTGAAACCTTCTACCCCCCATACTGTGTATAAAATATTGTAGAAAGCATATTAGCGAAGTTGAAACTATTTAACTTACATTGGTTTGTTTTTTACGGTTTATCAAACTTTTGCAGGTTATTTAAAGCCAGAAAATATCTTTTTAGATTGTAAGAATTTTTATTTTTAAAAGATAATAATGAATTACTAATACAAATTCTACTAATTAACCCATAGCTGGAGAGAAGAGAGATGGATTCGTACATTTACCAAGGTTATTTGAGCGTAAATAAATATAACGAACCCGACTGGAATTGGAACTCGGCTCTCCGATTTCCAATTCTGAGCGTTTATCCATTACACCAACCGCACATCCACGCTTACATCACCTGATATTTCCAAGCGATTACCCATTTAGGTACTGACCAGGTTCGACGTCACTTAACTTCGGTGATCGTACGGGATCCAGTGTGACAGCGAGTTCAGTCAGAATGCAAAGTCACCAAAGATGTCGGCAACCTAAAAGATGCAAAAAACACTGGATTGAGAATTTAACTAGAGTAAAATATTTTCTTTTATTACGTCATCTGGGTTATAAGTATTCGTCTCACCCTTCTCCTGATTCTAGTTTCTTGGATAAGATTAGCGATCAGTCGTGTCTATAGTCAATCTAACTAAGATCAAAGTACTTGCGTGGTGGGTCAGTCTTGTCGAGGAACAACGATGTCAAGCCTTGGATCAAAAAAGGGTTAACGCAAAGGCCGAACTTGATCCAGTGTCTTTATCTGCTATTTTAGCTTTCTCATCGCTTCTTGGGTGGCGGATCTGGCCGACCTTTCTTCGGCAGTGATTTTTGGCGATCCCCAATTCGGATTTCTATCGATCTTACATAATTCTCTTCTTTCTCCTTCCACTGGCATAACCTCATTGACACAGAGAGCACTTAGATGACACCCTTACTTTGCTTACACAATCTTCAGGTGACAGCAGGTATAACTCCGTCAATTGGCATTTTGATTGACAGCTCTTAAAAACAATTCATGGTAGTTTTCGTTTTTCTTAAAATTTCGTAATGTAAGCAATTATTTATTTTTCAAATAATATGAAAACTTCTCATTTTTAACCAGATTTCACTTTATATACTAATAAAATTTATGCCACACATGATATGGTCAGACATATTGTATTTTTGTACTAGCTGTGTTCCTTCCTCTAAATAAATTTTACTTTGTTAATTAATAAAATTTTGAAAGATATATATATATATATATATATATATATATATATATATATGATATCTTTACTTTTGATAACCAACATTACAGACAGAAATTTGGTTTACCAATGGGGTCTCCTCTCAGCTCTTGCTTGTCTATTTTTAGAATTTCTAGAAAGTGACCCATTCAAAAATATTCTACCTACAAACTCTTCATATTTCAGATACATAGACGACTCATTATTAATATATCCACAAAACACCAATTTAACAGATCTCTCCAAACTTAACAAAGTTGAACCTACAATAGACTTCAGTTTTGAAACTGAAACCAACTATACTCTTCCGTTCCTAGACATCATATTACACACACACACACACACACACATATATATATATATATATATGTTAAAGTCAATCTGAATAGATTATTAGTTTACATTTTCAGACAAGCTAGCTAGCTATTACGCCACATCGAAATGCCCAAAATGGTTTTGTAAGCAGAACTTAGATGTGGCACAAGGCCGAATGTGTGGGGCACTCAGTGAGCATCGAACTCTCTATTCAGTCGTGACTGATCTAGCAAGACACGCTTGGTAAACATTAGACCACATCGAAGTGTCCTAAATGATTTTCTGAGTAGAGGTTAGATGTGGCACAATACAAAATTTGTGGGGCACCCAATGAGGATCGACCTCACTACTCAATCCTAACTGATCATTACACCACATCGAAGTGCCTAAATGAAGCTTTATGAAAGAGAATTGTTGACAAATACAAAGGATTAAACAATAAAACGTAATTACTAATAAAAAAACAAAGACATTCTAAAATTAATTCTTATCTGTCATCTCATTATAATAAATATAAACTAATTGAATGAGAAAGACAGATAATTGGTTAACTTAAGTGATAGCAATATTTAGTGATAAGAATATAATAGAATTTTTTCTTTTGAAACGCTCCTAATGATATGTGATACTAACTCAGTTTTCTGTGTTGCAAACCTTCTTCCTCTTTATTCAAAGGATTCTACGGTGCGCATGCATAGCCACGATGTCTATGTTCTGGAAAATCTCCCAATGGCACAGGGACTGTCTTTTAAGTATCAGGATTTTTCTTATATTTGCGTTCGATATTCACTATTAAACTATATTAGTTATCACGTCATTTATCGTTCCCCTTCTTCTCAGGACTGTTGCTTGTTAGAATATATGACAGTATAGAAATCTCTCTCTCTCTCTCTCTCTATATATATATATATATATATATATATATATATATATATATATATTTCCTGATACGTTTACCTAGTAATTCTGACGGACACGCTTCTTTATTTGAGCTTTATATTACCTTCTCTCCGGACTTTTTTTGTCGCGCTTAGTAACCCTAACCCTCTTGGCAACTCAGTTTCTATATATTTCTACTCGTCTATTAGGCAGGAACGCCCTAGTCACAAGACATCATTTTGTTGCCAACGCACTGATTGGGATTCATTTCCTGATTTTCTTTGCGACTCTTTTGGAATGAAATATTTAAACTTCCCATTGAAAATTGTGACATCATTGTTTCTTCTTGGATGAAAGCCGGCACTGATGTCTTCGTGCCATCGCCAAACAACAATCTTCTCCTTGTCTCATTTCTGCCTGTTCAGCCGCAATAGCCCGAAGGAATCACTACTTCCAGCTATATCAACGTGGTAGTTCAGATCATAACAGGCGCATCTTTGTATCAGCTCTAATAATTGAAAGCGTATCTTCAATAAGGCGATGTGGATTTTCGATGATAGAATGAGAAACTGTAGAGCCTCTCACAAGTTTTGTGGTTGTGATTACTAGCGGCACTGTAAGAGTGTTAATCAAGTAGAAATACTCAATCCTTCTTCGTTTCAGTCAGTTTAAAGTGTTATCATTTCCTGCGGAATGCTTTGCTCGTAAATTCTTTTCCAAATCTACTCTTGACGCATTTGGTTGTTTTCCCACCTAGAACGGAATTTCTACTGTGTGATATGCGTATAACTCCGTCCATGGGTTCACATCTCTAAACTAGATTCCCACACGGTATGCGGGGGCGTGCTGGTATCCCTGCAATTGCCCTAAAGAAATATACTCCTGAACTGGTTCGTGTTCTCTCTAAATTCTACAAGAAATGCCTTGCTGTTTCTTGCTCTCTAAATAACGCTGATAAACCTTCTGATCCTGTGAATTATAATTCTATTAGTCTTCTACTTCTTTTTTAGGGTGGGGAGAAGGGGGCTCAACTCACTACCGAATCCGTTAAACATCTAATTTCACGCGGCCATCTTTCAGAAAAAAAACAAAAAACAATATGGCGTTCGCTTTTCTATGTCAGTTGATTTATTAACGGTTAATACTGACGGGGTCTATAAAGCATTAGATAAAAAACGGCGAAGCTCGGGTTGTGACTTTAGATATCTCGAAGGCGTTTGACAGGGTTTGGTGTGCTGATCTTCACAAGCTGAAGGGCTATGGTGTCTCCGGCCGAATTTTTGATTTGATTCAATCTTTCTTAAGTGGTGCAATTAAGATCGTGTTGAACGGTCACTCTTATAGATCCTTTCAAATTAATGTGGGTGTCACCCAAGTTTATCTCCTTGTATTTACTTTGTTTCTTATCTTCATCATCAACCCTCTCGATGTCATCTGTTCCCAACTCGGTATTCATGCTGATAACACAACTATTTACTCTTGTCTTAATGATAAGTCAAATATAGTAAAATTAGCAGCTGATCTCCAGTAAACTCCAATCAGTTGTTAACTGGGGCAAGAAATGGCTTGTAAATTTGATGTTAACCCCCAAGTGAGAAACTCACTGCTCTTGCTTTCACGTTTTGCATTGACATGAATATGGCAATGCAAAACGTGAAAGCAAGAGTAGTGAGTCATTGAATCAATTACTGGGCCTTTTGCTAGGAAAGTTGGTTCCCTTTGGCCTGCCAAACAATTATTTTCATCAGAATCCATCTTGAACGTTTATAAATCTGTCATTCATCCGTACATTGAATATTCCCGCCACATCTGGTCTGGTGCTCCCCACCGCCGTAACACAACTCCCCTGTAACTTTTTCTATAAATATTTTTATGGTAATTCTTTTGATGAGCTCTCCACATTGGCACTTCGACTGCAGAAATTTAAGCGTACTATTAAATTAGCAAATAGTTCTCATCGTTTTATTCTTAAACTAGCTGGATATAATCGTATCTTCTATTGTAATATTTTCTTTTTCCGCACTTCTCGTCTGTGGAAATCTATTCCGGTTTCTTGCTTTCCTACCACCAACAATTTTCACAAATTTAAATGCCACATCAGTCGCCATCTTATGTCTTCCTGAACTCTGTTATTTTATTGTCCTTTCTCCTTACTAACTTTTTCTTATTTTCTTTCACTCTTGGTAATCCCTTGCGTCTTAGTGGCATTATCGCCTTGCTTTGGTTGAAATGATTAAAAAAATCTTTTCGCCTGCAAAGAGATTGTTGTTATCTAGAAACGAGAAGAGATTCAAGGACCTTCAAATGGAATCACGACTGTACAACAGTAAAGCATAAAAAACAGTCATTTAAAAAGTGTTAACATAAACAGTATGGTCAATGAGAATTTGGCTAATCTTTTGGACGTGCGTCAATGTTGTAGTTTGATGCAATTGGCTATTCCTAATCCAAAATGGATCAGGCCGCTTAATCCCAGGTTCCAATCTCGTCTAAAGCAGTGGCGGATATACAGGGCAATTAAAAAGTAACTCCCTATTTTATATACGAGTGGCCAGACAGGACTTCTGACTTAACACCGTGACTGTTTTCTTTGGCATTGGTTAAAGGAGCAAGTTAACTATAACAAAGACTTTGGAAGAACTTGAAGTGCGAATACAAGAAGTTATTTCTTCCATACCACAAGAGTTCCAGTGAAATCATTTGACGCGATTCCTGAACGGTTCGAAAAGCTGGTAGCGAAATCTGGTACCGATATCGAATTTTAAATAAAATCTCATGCTAAACGCTTTCCGCTCATATTCATTTCTTGTAAAAATTATAGTTAATAAATAAATTACAAGTATTTTAAAACGGGGAGTTACTTTTCAATCACCCAGTATATTTGAGGGGTCTGATGCTTGAACATATGCAGTAGACTCTTCGCAACCAGCCACAAGAGATTCGAGGATCCGACTGCCAAAATGTAGGCTATGAATAGATTCTGGTCAGCTCAACGAGCCCATGCAGTTAGAGGTTCGGACACTGCAAGT